CATAACTGTTCTCGTATATACTTTGTCGATACGCTAATATATCAGCGAGACTTTTTGTACTCTGTCCTACAATTCGATCAATTTTCATTAATTTACATCGACTTAGTATTAAACTCGTTGGTACATCGAGGTAAATAAAGATCCCGCTTTTCGAAAGGTGTTCCATTGAACGAGAGTGTAATGCATTCGAACCTGTTAGGGATACAACATAGTTTTTCTTCTGAAATTTTAACATTTCCTCGCCTTCCGCTTCTAAAAATCCTTCATCACCCAATTCAGCTAATTTATCGGCAACACTTGTTTTCCAATGGATTTCTAACCAATCGTCATCAATATCCATTACATGTTTTTCTAATAGTTTACCTAACACCTTCGCCACTGTCGTTTTTCCAGCGCCGGGTGGACCCATCAAAAAGATGTTTCTCTCTTTACTGTCTGAGAGCAAGGGACGCTTGGTACCATCTGTTGCCCAACTTCTTAAATTCGGTAACCAATACTGATTTTTAGATTTCAAATGATCCATTTCTGGCATGGTTGTTCTGTTGTCACTTGACTTTAGTTTGAATAAAAGAATTCATATTAGTCTCTTCACTTTGACGCTACCTATTATATACGCTTGAATGGTTTATGCACTGTCGATTCACCTTATCTTTCTGTTGTACTTAATGTCGTTTTAGAGCTAGTTTCGAAGTAATGATCACGTATCTAAAGAACATCAGCGAACTATAAAACAAAGACTACACTGAAATTATGCAAAGTATATTTAGTGTTTCAGTTTTGATCGTTAAGATGACACAAGGTAACAAAAATGACTATTGTGTACGTCCACTTACGATCGGTTTACGGTCGTTTGTAAAGAAAATGTTTACAACCGTTAACAACATAGCGGTTGTTACCATCAACTTCATGATTCTAACATTCTGGAAACTTAAAGAAAGCTTCACCCTAGATGACTCATGCATTAAATGCGTGGTGTGTATATCCAGTGATTAAGCCTATGGTACATAAACAATGGTATGGTACATGAGTGTAATAATTATATAGAAAGAAAGAAAAAGCCTAATGTGACTTCGCCGACTATCGAGAACACAGAAGAAGAGATAGATACAACAGTATATATACATACATTCGACCTCTTCATTCAAACGAATATAAAGTTTTGATCATTATATTGTATTGTACGGACCTTAACGTATCTAAAATTTTCATCAAATTTTTGTAACGACGAAATGTGCTTACCGGTAAGAACTGATCTTCCAGTGTAAAACTTTTTAGCGTTGAGGGCTGAGATTTATCGATGTCCAAACCTGTTGGATCAAAGTTGCTTAAAAATAAATCAAAAGGAAAACAAGAAACTGGAATATGATTTTTCCCAATCTTAGTTATTTCATGAAAACACTTTCAACTAGCCAAGAAATATGGTTCTGACTGCAGGAAATAAAATCTTTTTCTATTTTATAATAATCTATTTTCAAGATGCATTTACGCCGTATTACGAGGGTAATCAAAAAATGTTTATATGAACTCTTTCTTTCTGTTTTAGTTGTGTTGCGATTGTGGGCCAGTTGATTGTTGTGTTTGTATTCCACTGGATTGTTGTTGTCCTGGCAGTGGTGGGTAGGTGTATTTTACGCACCTGTACGACTACTTTCTCATTCTCATCTTTGTGTTACAGGGTAATTACAAGCCAACCTGGATGACAACGGCGCATGTCTTATCTTTTTTTTGAAACTGTTTATGTAACATAACTGTATAGTTTGAACAAAAGACATTAAATTAGTTTGACGTAATTGCGATGTGTCGCATAGGAGTAGATTGGCTGACTGACAAAGGACGGAGTCAGATAAAGTTTTTGTCTAAAAACGGTTCTGTGTGGTAAAATATATTTATTCGATTTGAAGTAATTTCACTTTTGGTAACTAACAGAGTAATTCATCTATAGGCGTTAGCCAATATCCCCCAAAGATCAGCTGTAGGTTACGTAAAATGTATTGTTGTTGCAAATGTTATTAATCTAGAAAACCTTGGAAAATCCCAATCGAACGAAAAATAATTTTTTGTAATAGTTCACATGTGATGATTTTACGATATATCACGTACATTATTGAACGGACTTCATGTATCGAACTGAAACGAGTGAATTGTTAAAA